TTTCATAGAGGAAAGAATCTTGAGAAAAATAAGAATCGGCATGAGGCGTGCCAAAAGCTGTCCAAAAATTTGAGGATGGAGGTAAAGTCATTTCATCTGGTGTTAGAGGTCAGTGGGAAAGTCAGAGAGGGGTTACGGAAGTGCAGTCGGGCCAGGAAAGCCCCTGGTGGGCCCTTGGGCACCCCCAGTCAGTTGGCGTCCCCCAAAATCCTGCCGTGGGTTCTCTCCTCAGGCTGCCTGCTCCGTGAGTGCCCTTGTTCTCTTCCGTGCCTTCCCACGCCCATTTCTTCCTGGTGCTTTCCAAATAAGTGTCTCTGCCCTCGGTTTCCTGTTTGCCTTCCAGCTGTTATCACCGCCTGCTAAATCTCCCACATCCTGCACACTCCCGAATCTCCCGGCAGCCCTTCTGTGTGTCCCTGCACACTAGTGTGGAGGCTCCCTGCGATCAGAGACCAGCATGTTCCTCTTGCCCGTTATATTCCCAGTGCCTGGCAAGGCCTCACAGAGAGCACGTGCTCAGTAAATATTGGTAAAATTAATCCGTGATTAAGATTGCAAGACGGACGCCAAGGCATTCTCCCAGAAGGCACTGAAGCTTCCCTGTTCTCCATTTCAGCTCGTGGCAGGACCACCGGCCTCAGCCAGAAACCTGACCTGCACGGTGGTTTCCTCCTCCTCCTCCCTCCCTCCACGTCCAGTCACGCCAGCCTTCCATTTTCCCCTACGAGTCATTCATTCATTGACAGATTGTTCTTGCAAGTCCATATGACGGGCCCTGGGGGGTGAGCACACGGGGGGGGGGGCATACTGACCCCCCCTTCAAGCCCCCGCCTGTAACACTCCTCCCTCTGCCACTCACCGGACCCTTTAGCTGGAAGGCAGAGATGCGTCCGTCTTACTGGCCACTCCGTCTCCTCCGCCCAGCACAGTATAGTAAATACATTTGAAGACTGAACCAAGGTCCCCGCGTTGCCCGCAGGAAAAAAACCCAACGTTACAGCGCAGTGCGGTAGGTTCCTCTTGTTGCTGTAACAAGCGCAGGCTGGCTTAGCACAGGTGTTGTATTACAGAGTCCGCGGGAGGTCACTGAGCCAAAGTCAAGGCGTGGCAGGGCCGCCTTCCTTTCAGGAGGCTCTGGGCAGGCGGCTCTTCCTTGCCTTGGCATTGATTCCACATGCGATCACAGCTCTCCTTCGCCAGGTCGTGTGCATAGGTCCCAGGGATTGGGGCGTGAATATCCTCGGGGGAGCGTTAGCTGTGCCTACCACATATGGTCGACAGCATCTCTCAGTTCGGCACTAACTTACCTTTCTTTTTTTTTTTTTTTTAATTCATGTTTTGAGAGAGAGCGTGAGTGGGGGAGGGGCAGAGAGCAGGGGCAGAGAATCCCAAGCAGGGTCTGCTGTCAGCACAGAGCCGGGGGCAGGGCTCAAACCCACAAATCACAAGATCATGACCTGAGCCAATGTCAGATGCTTAACCGAGCCACTCGGGTTCCCTGGCACTAACTTAACGTTCTTAATCTCACTTTTAAGTACTTTCCAAGTATCTAGTGTGCTTTGCCTCCATGCTGTTTCCTGTGCAAGAGGCTTTCCCCTGGGTCCCCTTGTGGCTCCCCACCCTTCCTTCCTGGCACCTGTTGAGAGCCTGCTTCACATTACCGCCTCTGGGATACCATCCCGGTGCTCTCCCTGAGCGTGCCTGTAACATGAATGACTCTACAGCGCAGTGAATAGGACACGTGCACCGACGGGGACTCCCTTGCTTGCACAAACCACAGAAGAAGTTTGAACGCTTCATTATCACCATGTCCCGCCGAGAAAAACAAGGCTGGAGTGTGGGAATGGGGCATGCCTGTTGCAGACCCAAACAGGTCAGTCAGGACGCTCTCTCTCCTGAGCACCTTCGGTGCCAGGTTGGCCACCTTCCTCCCTCGCAGTGGACTTCTCTGTGGGAATGTGGAGAAACAGGTGTGGGAAGAGGGAATGTCCAAGTTTACGTTTCAGTCTGCCTGGCAACTTCAAGGGATTGGGACACGTGCCCAACCTTTGACTGAGTAGTGAGGGAACTGGGCATTATGGTTGGCTAAGCCTGGGTCTCCTACCCACGCCTTCCACCCCTGGGCTTTGGGAAGAGGCCTGGGGAGGCTGTCGGGTGGGTGCTGTCATCATGGTTGGCAGTATCACATAGTTCAGCATTGTAGAAGAGTAACTCCCCAAGGTGGGGGGGCGGTGGGGGGCAGGAGGGGAGGGTGCTAGGCAGATTGTGAGGCAGAACGAAATGCCTAACACAAGGGAATGAAGTGTTGTGGGAGCCCGAGAGGAAAGAGCAGGTCGCCAGGCTTTCTGAAGATTGCTCAGGGCACCACCATCTAAAGTGTGTTTGAACCTAATCATCGGAGGAAGGCAGCGAATGATAAAATGCTTAAAGCTGTTGAACAGGCGATGGTCTAGCTGTTTAAAACGGAACTCCCTGAGGGCTGGAGGGGGGTTGGGGAGATGGATCCCTTGAGTGTTGAATATTTGATGAAGACCTACCTCCTAGTATTAAGGAATGCTAAGTAGGGGGGAGATTCAAGACTGTCCACTGAGGGGCTAATTGTAGGGTGTGGGGATTAGAGACCAAACATCTCCACCCCAGGTGACTGGGAAGAGAATATGACCGGACTGGAGAAAGGGAACCCAGGGCAAGGGATAAACTTGAACAGGATGTCAGTTTTCGTTTGAGAAACATTAAATTTGAGGTGTGGGCAAGAGACCCATTAAGATGTTTTATAGAGGGCACCTGGGTGGCTCAGTCGGTTAGGCAACCAACTTTGGCTCAGGTTATGATCTCGCGGTTCAGGAGTTCAGGCCCCACATTGGGCTCTCTGCTGTCAGCACAGAGCCCACTTCAGATCCTCTCCTCCCTCCTCAAAAAAATAAACATTAAAAAAAAAGATGTTTTATAGAAAGAAAATCAGAGAAAGATGCCTGGGCGGCTCAGTCGGTTAAGTGTCTGACTCTTGATCTCAGCTCAGGTTTTGATTTCAGTCAGCGATGCATGTTCAAGCCCTGCGTTGAGTTTGGCTCCATATTGGGCATGAAGCCTACTTTAAAAAAAAAAAAAAGAAATTGAGTCGAGAAGAGACCAGCATCAAACATTTATATTTGGGAGTAGAAAAGAGTAAGTCTTTCCCAAAGGTGGGATACATACATACACTTGTTCAAGAGATGAATTTAGGGGACACGGGACCCTGAATTAAAGAATATCGAAGCAAGTCAGGTTTCTGTTTGCTGTCAGCAGAAGCACTTAGTTTGGTTTTAGTGGGTTGCGACAGGCCCTCTGACGTCCTCTCCCGCTTCTCCAGGTGTCCGGTTCGGCCACCTGTTGGCAGCACTGATTGTTCCACATTAAACTTGTCCATTTATGGCAATGACTCTTTACTTTTAAGATAGACATATGGACATTTGGGGCTCCTGGGTGGCTTAGTCGGTTAAGCGTCCGACTTTCGCTTAGGTCATGATCTCGCGGTTTGTGGGTTCGAGCCCCGCATCGGGCTCTGTGCCGACTGCCAGCTCAGAGCCTGGAGCCTGTTTCAGTCTGTGACTCCCTCTCTCTCTGATCCTCCCCTGCTCACGCTGTCTCTCTCTCTCTCCCCTAGAAATAAATAAAAATATTAAAAAAAAAAAAGACAGACATATGGAGCAAAGTCTTTTGGAAATGATGTACTAATACAGCTGGCGCGCACACAGCCCAAATAGCGATGGGGGAGGGGGAAGTATGGTGGGATGCAAGTGACCTAAGTTTAGGGAGCATCTACACAAACCAAAGTGGGTGAGATCATGTAAGGGGAGCGCAGGGCTATGAGACAAGGACAAGGTCAGGACTTTGGGAAACGCTATCTGAAGGCAAGAGGAGGTAAAGAAACCCCAGGAAAAAAATGAAGGTTGGAGGTAGAACTTAGTTCTTAGGTGAGAAAAAGTCCAAGGAAGTGTGTATGTCAAGGTGTTGTCAAATGTTTGAGTTAACAGGTTTATACCCAAAAAACTTAGTTAACTTAGTTACCAGTTAGCACATTTGGAGGTTTCAGGGGAGTTGTAACATGCAACTTTTCGGGGCTAAAGAATAAACTGAGTGATGAGGAAGTGGAGGAAGAAAATGTCTGTTTGGTCAAAGATGAAAGAAAATGGCAGAGGGTGGGGCCCGCATCTTGAAGAGAAGCCAGCCTGAGGGCAGCGAGTTCACAGACCGAGACTGAACAGCCAGTAGGGATGAGGGAAAGAAGGCAGGAAAGAAAGAGGAAAGGAGGCACTGGTTCTAAACATCTAGAAACTACAGAATGTCCAGTCTGGAAACATGGCAAATACGTGCTTATGATTGTGGTCCCAGGTGTTCTCACGATTAAGGTGGGTTGGTGCTCTGTGCAAAATCCTTACACACACACACAGCACACTACCACAGTTTTTTAAAATGTTTCCAGATTTCCCAATATCCAAAAGGTGAAATACAGAGGTTAAGGAGGTATAACCACCAGCGGTCACATCCAAGTCTTAAGTTCAAAGACTCGGGTCTTCCGTGAACCCGCCTCAAACAGCATGTGAGGAGGCATCAGAATGAAATCAGAACGTCTGCAGTTCGGAACCCAAAGCAGTGCCATCTAGTGGCAGGAGTGCAGCAGGTCAAGTGGTAAAGTCTGGGGGTCTGGACAGGGGAACCTGGGCAGTTGCAGTAGAAGGTGATCATTGTGTTTGTTCTTACATCTTCCATCAAAATCCTAAGGATGTAAGAGCTTGGATGTGCAGAGTGCTTCTTGCAGTTAAATCTGTGCATTACAGAACATCTCTAGATGGATTCACAAGAGGCAGGCCACCCTGATGTGAGAGGACGGAGGATCAGGAGTCGAGAGATGAATTCTGTGTACCTATTTCAGACCTTTGGGATTTTGAAATGTGACATTTCCTTAGACTTGTTGAAATAGAAATACAGGCAGGGTACTTCCTAAGATTTTTCTAATGCAGGTCATGAATGAAAAGCTTCAGCACTGCATGGAGCTAACAGATCTAATGCGGAATCACCTGACTGAGAAGAGAACACTCCGCCTGGAGTGGATGATCGTCATCCTCATCACCATCGAGGTAAGTATTTTTTAAAATGAAAATAAGCTAACTCAGTTGCTGGCGCCTTCAACTCAAATCTCAGGGTTGTGGGTGTGACCCTAATGTCGGGTGTAGATTACTTTGAAAAATAAAAATTAAAAATCTAAAAAAATTAAACGAAAACAAAGATAATTTGACATAGAAATTATACTGGGGAAGAACATGGCTTTGTTCTAATTACCTAGTTTATTTGGAATCAGGCAAGTTTCAGGTGGCTATGGCAATATTGTGGATGCACCAAGTGTGATTTTTGGAGAAGTTTCATTTTTAAAGACCTCCTAAGACGGCAGTTAGAGAATGTTCTAGCTGCAAATGTACAGGTCCTTTGTCTCAGATCTGCAGATAGCCACATAGGAAAGACTCCAGAATTTCATTAAACACGATCTTGGAATGTCATTTTAGTTTTGACAAATGATTTGCCATGGAATTAAGAAATCTCATTTTTTATCACCCTAAGGTAATGTTTGAGCTGGGACGAGTATTTTTTCTGATCAAGTGATGGCCAGAGAAAAGTATCAGTGCAAGAGATACTAAAATTCTACAATCAAAAATAAATGCTCATTGATGGGGGAATCTCTTATTTAATAGGTATTTAATTTTTTTAAATCAAAAAGTTGCAATGATCTTTTTTAGCTCCTGAATGTATTGCTGCTTGAATAAAAATTATGACGAATTTGGCGTTTGGGTCTTTAACTGAGAATCTGAAAGGAAGAGATTTTTAAAGAACTGTGGAAAGCTGAGCACCTAGGAAATCTCGGCAAAGATACTTATTAAAGCCAAAAGGCTTAGACTTTGGACACTACCCACCACCTGTCTCCAGGAGACCCCAGTCCCAGCCCTGAGAACCGTACAGCAACTCTGGAGTGTTGGGAGTCAATCCATCAAATACAGGTTTGCGATAACAGAAATGGAATTTTCTATACCTACTTTGGAGGACATGATTTCAGGATAGGTGCTCAGGGGCATTTCTCCTTTCATTGACCAGTATTGCCCATCCCGTCCCTCCTGTCACCCCCTAGTCAGAATACTCCTCCCACGCACACATTTCACTTCACCCGTACTTTCGGGAAATGAAAAAATGCCACGAACAAAGATCTTGACATTTATGTGCTTACCATCTTGAACTGATAAACACTTTTATGTTTTTTATTTTTATTTTTTACAAATAGTTTGTCAAGTTGGTTTCCATATAACACCCAGTGCTCATCCCCACAAGTGCCCTCCTCCATGCCCATCTTCCCCCTCCTTCCGATAAACATTTTTTTTAATGTAATTATTTTTGAGAGCGCACAAGCAGGGCAGGGCCAGAGAGAAGAGGGACAGAGGATACAAAGCGGGCTCTGTGTCCACAGCAGAGAACCTGATGTGAGGCTTGAACTCACAAACCAAACCGTGAAGTCATGACCTGAGCCAAAGTCAGACACTTAACCAACTAAGCCACCCAAGCGCCCTGATAAACATTTTTACCCCGGTCCTTTTTATCTTCATTTCTATGCATAATCCCCCCCTTGCCCCACAAGGCTTCCCCCAACAATGAATTTAAATTTTCTGGGTTTTTTCATACATTTTACAGTTGACCCTTGAAAAATGGTTAAGTCTGTCACACAGTTGAAAAATCTGTATTAACTTTGGACTCCCCAAAAACTTTATTTTTGGCCTGTTGACCAAAAGCTTTACCAATAAGTCAGTTAACACATTTTTTTCTACATGTATTATATACTGTAATCTTACAATAGCAAGCTAGAGGAAAGTTAAAAAAATGTATTTACATACTATAGCCTATTCATGGGAAAAACCCACCTGCAAAGGAGTGGAACTGTCCAGTTCATAACCTGCTGTTCAGTTTATATCCAGGAACACAGGATTACTGTTCTAAATTGAGACACTTATTTTGCAACTTAACTGCTACAGTGTTTCACCAGGAAAATAAACATACTGCTGGTGTTTTACACACTTACCTGCGGGAGCAGTGCAAAGGTAAACATCCTGGCCCATTCTCAGTTCACTGCAAGAGTTCTTGAGCGGCAGTCTGGTAGGTACCTGTATCCCAAGGCTTCCCAAGGAACAGGTGGACACGGATAGTTCAAGAACAGCTTTCTAGGTCCTTAAGTTCTATGTAAGCACTCACATAAGCCTGCTGTGCCTGTGTGCACACCTGCAGTCAGTGTATCAAGCCTATTCTTTCCCATCGTCCCTTCTCACACTGTAAGGAAGACATTTCTCACCCATCTTGAATCTCAGTTCCATCTACTGGATTTAAAAACCTATAAACACATTTAAAAAATCTCTGGGAAACCAACAAGAAGACAATTTGAAATATTGGCCAACAAAGCTTCCTAATTTAATAGGGACCATATAATCCTTCCCCCCGCCGCCGCCGCCCCCCCCCACATTAAGAGGGGCATTTCCAATAAAGTTCTACTTCAATTAACTATATGTACTATTTATTGGGGCGCCTGGGTGGCTTAGTCGGTTAAGCGTCCGACTTTCGCTTGGGTCACGATCTCGCGGTTCATGGGTTCGAGCCCCACGTTGGGCTCTGTGCCGACTGCCAGCTCAGAGCCTGGAGCCTGTTTCAGTCTGTGACTCCCTCTCTCTCTGACCCTCCCCTGCTCACGCGGTCTCCCTCTCTCTCTCCTAGAAATAAAACATTTAAAAAAAAAAAAAAAACAATATGTACTATTTACTGTTTGGGTCAGCAATGTGTTAATTATAACAATTTTAACAACAAAACATTTGGTGTCTCGTCGTGACAAAATCTCAACATCAACTTATATCCAAATATGCTGCAAAGAACAAAAAGATAATCAGACCTTTAAGCATAAAAATTTATTACATAAACATTTTGTGGGGAAAATGTTAGGTTTTTCAAGAAAAAAAGAACAGTGTTAAATTTGAATTGTTTACTTCAATCATGGTAGACACCAACTCATGGTATTACATTCCACTAGATACATTAAAGACCAATACAGATTTTTTAATATCAGTTTTTATGATTCATCAGAAATTACATTTTTCAACTACTTAAGTTTATGCTAAAAGCTTCAACTTGTAGTACTAGAAGTTTTAAAAATTATCTTAGGTGTAACAGAAGAAAGTTTTTCCAGATCACAATTTCTGTAAAAACAAAATAACCAAGAAATCTTACCAGAAGACTAAAGAGCCTAAAGTTAAATACATTCACCAGTGGCCCTGGGAGGATTCTTCAAAGTGGTATCACATTTCTATCACTCATGAGGTCACAGTGGTTAAGAACCTGGATTTGAATTCTTCACCGCCCCCTGCTAGTTGTATCACTGCTAGCTGTATCTCCTTGGGCCAGTCACTGAACCTCTCTGGGTCTCAGGTTTTTTCATCTGTAAAATGGGTAGTACCATTACCTCATAGAGTTGCTAGGAGGATTAATGGAATGAACATATGTGAAGCCAAGAGTCTACTGTTCCTACAATCCATCTGAGTGAACATCCCCATAGGATTCTGAGATTAAACGGAGACTGAAGCAACTCACTAGGACCCCCTTTGAATCCAGTTAAGAAACATCAGGAGATTCTTAAAGGCAGAGGATAGTAAATCCTGCACCTAAATGCATGGAGTGCTTCAAGTAAATATAGGGTAGTAATTCCACTGTTGCAAGCGAGCTGGCTCTTCAACACAAGCCCCAAAAAGCTTTTAAACTGTACACATTTTCCGTGTACCGGGCAGCTGCCAATACGCATTCTGGGTGCCTCCTCAGATAACCAGAGCAGTCAGAGGCAGGAATGTTCTTACATATAAAATCAATATATTGTTGCTAGTATTAGAAATCTTTTTTTGACAAAACTTAATCATACTCCCCTAGTTTTTTTTTTTTTTTATGATTTAAGTTGTCAGAACCTACTCCCCTAGTTTTTCTTTTAAAATTTTTTTTTTTTAATGTTTTTATTTCTAGGAGAGAGAGAGAGACAGCGTGAGCAGGGGAGGGTCAGAGAGAGGGGGGGGTCACAGACTGAAACAGGCTCCAGGCTCTGAGCTGGCAGCACAGAGCCCGATGCGGGGCTCGAACCCACGAACCGCGAGATCATGACCCAAGCAAAAGTCGGATGCTTAATCGACTAAGCCACCCAGGCGCCCCTCCCCTAGTTTTTCTTAAGTATTCCCTGGTCTCTCTACCACTTACAGCAGTTTTTTCTAAAGTGTGATGCTCAGACCAGCTGCAGCAGCAAACACCTGGGTGTCCACGATTTTTTATACAGACTCCTGGGTTTTGCAGTCAGAATTTGAGGCTGCAACTAAATTGTTTTCTACAACTCTCCAAGAGATTCCCATGCTCACTAAGCTCGGAGAACCACTAACATAGAGACTTTTTATCGGCTTGTCCTCAATTTATTGATACAGATTTTCAGGAATTCACTAGCACCCTCTTGCTCTATTCAGTATCCTAATCAGTCTCCAGGTGACTCAGTTCTCTCCCCACCCCACCCCCATCCCAATCCCCTCCCGCTCTTCTTAGCCCTGCCTTACAGTGTGTGTGTGGCCCGTGCTGTGAGGTCGTGGAAGAGGAGGAAGGTTTTCCAAATACTTCCAATGCCAATCCATTAACTTTCAATTCTCTCCATTGGTTCTGAATTGCCACTTCTTTAAGGAAGATTTAAGGTAACTTTCCAAATTCCCTTTCCTCAAGGAAGCTCTCCTCAGAGGTTTAACAAAGCAGGATTTTTTAAAGCCCACATTTTTTCACTCATTCTGCACAATATGAAACATAGAACCTAAAATGTATGTGAGATTTAGAGATTACGATTTGAACTGAAAAACCCAAAACTAGAGATTCTGTTAAGTATAAACTTGACTTTAGTTTGGCTTCCACACGAGTCTTGGAAACTTGCTTACCACAACAACTGAATATTGCAGATATAAAAATATGGACTAGACTGCCTTTTGAACTCCTCACATGAAGACTTACAGAGGGCAACAAACTACCAAAAAATGATGCAATTCCAGTCAAATCCAAGCCACCAGGTGCTAATCTTTAAATTCAGAATATTGATCTCAATCTAAAAAGCCTCATGTAGGGGCGACTGGGTGGCTCAGTTGGTTAAGCATCCACTTCAGCTCAGGTCATGATCTAGCAGTTTGTAGATTCAAGCCCCACACTGGGCTCTGTGCTGACAGAGCCCGGAGCCTGTTTCAGATTCTGTGTCTCCCTCTCTCTGCCCCTCCCCTGCTCATGCTCTTTCTCTGTTTCTTAATAATAAATGAATGTTAAAAATTTTTTAAAAAAATTAAAAAGCCTCATGTGGTCTGGGTTCTGGTTACCTTAGAGACTGACTCAAAGCACTCTGATGGCGAGGAAGAGTAGTTTGAATACTGTCCTGTGGTTCCTAATGAAATATGATCAACTGGAATTTTATGATCAACTGGAATTTTATGGGGCCCTTTCACTGCAGGGGTTCCTGCAGCAGCTGGACTTCCAGTGCAAGGCCATGAAATTCCTGGGCGCAGCAGCCAGCTGGCTACCCATCTTCAGACCACAGTTGAGATACCAATGTTTAGACAACTCTTTCAAAGGACTCTACTGCTACCCTTTGAGGTCTTTAATACGGATCAACTACTAAAAACAGGAATCTCCCCTACCAATGATCAATCATTTTCATAAAGAAAAGCCAATATCATGCACACACAATTGTT